CCTCTCGGACTGTTCACGGCAGACTAGAACGTTTCTGGCCTGGGTTTTATGGTCATCTGTGCTAGCAGGGAACACAAGGTGGAAATAAAAGATTTTCTAGTATGGAAATAAAGAGTTGGCATGAAAGTGGCTACTGAAAAGCATCTGAAATCATTTCTGTGCGTCGCGCTGTTTTCAGAGCCTTAACTATGTGTGGACTTTGGAGAAACTGCTGCTCCAACACCCCCACCATGTTCAGAGCAGCTGGTTCCAGAGGGCATCTGCAGAAATAGCCCCATGGTCCTAGGGCCGCCGTGTTTGTGTAGCAAACCGGGCCAGCCTCAACAGGGAGTGAGTAGAAGACTTTCACAGCTGCTGTTCGACTCCTCAGACGAGCTAAAGTCCCACATGTACCAACAAATTCATAGAAATGCTGTCATGCTGCAGCACTTAGCAGGGTCTGTGAGCCAGTTTCCACATAGTTAAGCTGGCAGTGTCTGAACTGGAAGGTTAGAGGTAACTGGTTCTCCCCAGACATCGTTCTGACCTCAGCCATAGGGTCTTGACAGAAATGGGCAGATGAGTGTAAACGCCCATTGGCTTTATCATAATGGATGCCACTGAGTGTGACAAGACCTCCTTAAACAACTCTGCCTACAAATCAGCATTCTATGGCTTTACACCCCGAAATGACGCCACCTACCCCCTCCCAGAGCACAGTCTTTCCTTAAGGAATCTCTCCTCCCTCTCTTCACGGGCTCCGGTAAGGCAAGGATGGTGCATCAGTTCTGATTTGAACTATATGCTTTGGAAAAATATTCCTTTTGGTGTCCAGTCAGTTGGAATACAATGAACTGATAGAGTCTTTTTTGTTTTGTTTTGTTTTCTTGAGACAGTCTTGCTCCATCACCCAGGCTGGAGTGCAGTGGTGCAATCTCGGCTCACTACAACCTCCACCTCCGGGGTTCAAGCAATTCTCCTTCCTCAGCCTCCCAAGTAGTTGGAACTACAGGCACCTGCCATCACGCCCAGCTAATTTTTTTTTTTACATTTTTAGTAGAGACGGGGTTTTGCCATGTTGGTCAGGCTGGTCTGGAACTCCTGACCTCAGGTGATCCGCTTGCCTCACCCTCCCCAAGTGCTGGGATTACAGGCATGAGCCATTGCGCCTTGTGGGGGCAGTGTCCCTTTCCACAGGTCTTAAGTTCCAGCACAGAGCACACTTGTTCTAGTCCTTGAAGGATATCTCAGCTGTATTTCCAACGGATTCATCTTTCTTGCCGATGCTACCTTTTTAGAGGATTATACATGGAGTATTCAAGGTAAGCTAAAGTAAAACTATGGAAAAACAGCTCATTAATACATTCTGAGTGTTCACAGAACAGTAGGCAGTGACACATTTTATCATTAATTCTTGACAATCACATATATCATAAACCCACAGGAATTCCAAGATCTAGAGGTCTGAGGACTCTGAATCTTCTGCAAGTTACGTATGATTTAAGAGAAAAAGAATCAACCCTATATACCTTAGAAATGAGGTTACAGTATTGACTTCAAGAATATAAGGCTCCTACCGAGTCTAAAAAGACCTCGTTTCAGCTTCTTTTTTGGAATGCAACCCTACAGTTTAAGAATAATGGGAGCACAACTTCCACAAGCAACTTCTACGTTTATTTTATACCAAAAAAATTATGTGCAACAAATAAACATTCTTACATATTTACATTTTGTTTTATTTACCAGTTAGCGAAACGGTGCCTTAAATCTCTGATAAAGAGTATTTCTATCTAGATTAAAGGGGAAACCTGCCCAGTGAACTCCATTTTAAATGAATGTTTACTCTGGAGCTTAAAGCACTAGTAAGAAATCTTTCTCATGGAACATTCTAGACAGATCATACACCTAATACTTAGGTCATGCCTAATACAGTTTTATAACAAAACATTTCACCTTTTCTAGGTGAATTTGTAGTAAAAAAATGTTTAGCCAAGTAGCTGGGGCTCCCACCCTTGCCTTTTTTGTTTGATGGAAGGGTAGTTGTCACAATTAGAAACCGTAAGTGCTGCCTGAGGTGTCTGAAATGTTTCACCAATGCTTGTGTGTTGGAGGAAAAGGCATGAAGACAGAAACTGTATAATAGGTCATTAGGTCGTCTCCCCAAATAGGTTACCAGAAGTCACAGAGGGTCTCCTTGTTGGCATCTAATATTGATTTTCAAGACAAGATCTCCTGTCACTCTTGGTACCAATCTAAGTTACGAAGAAACTGCTGAAGATAACTCTACTTTTGCCAATAGTCTTTTCAAAAACTAAACGAAAAACAAAAGTCAACAAATAGTTTGTTGTTGTTGTTGTTGTTTTGAAACAGTGTTTCACTTGTTGCCCAGGCTGGAGTGCAATGGTGCAATTGGGAACTCACTGCAACCTCCACCTACCGGGTTCAAGCAATTCTCCTGCCTCAGCCTCCGGAGTAGCTGGCATTACAGATGCCTGCCACCATGCCCAGCTAATTTTTGTGTTTTTAGTAGAGACAGGGTTCCACTGTGTTGATCAGGTTGGTCTCGAACTTCTGACCTCAGGTGATCCACCTGCCTCGGCCTCCCAAAGTGCTGGGATTATAGGTATGAGCCACCATGCCCGGCCAGCAAATAGTTTTAATTTCACTGTAGTCTTGGTCCTCTTTGAATGTAGTCTCTTTGAATGAAAATAGTCAATGCTTTGAACATCATTTGAAAATAATGAATTTAAGGAGAGGACACATGTATAAAGGAACAGTGATTCTGGGCACACAGCCAGTTAACCCTGAGTTATTTCACCAGAAATTTACTTTAACTGAGAGCAACTAGCTGTAATGCAAAACCAAATGAAATCCTCCAAATCACCCAGATTCCCTAGAATTTATCATCTAACCCCAATTCGTCTTATTTCTTCAAATGATATTTGTGAGCATCAAGTCAATAAATGGCTTCATTTGGAACAAATTACTTTAAAAAGATGAAGCATGGAGTTACTGCTAAAAACAAAAGTTTCCCCTCATCTGTCCTTTAACACTTGTGGCTAGTAATGCTGCAGTGTTCAAATATTCAGTCTAAAACAGGCAAAACAATCTTCTAATTTTATAACACTGGTGATTCCCCCCTCTTCTGGGCAGAATAGAAGGTATAGAAGGGAATCTGAATTCTCCAGGGCAAAAAACACCCAATAAACACCACCAGGGTTCTGTTACTTACTGAGACACTGGCATTACAATGCTGTTATGACAGGCAGTACGTGTTCCTCTCTCAGTGAGATAAAAGGGTATTAATCTGACTGGGCCATAAGAATGTGGCAAAAAAAAATTTATACAACTGAAACAGTGGTTTCACCGAGGTTTAGAAAAGCAAAGGAAAAACTGAAAGGGTCTGGCTGACCATTTTCCCATGTTTTCTCAGGTAAGAGTTGAAGACATTTGCAAGAATGCAACATCAAGACAAGCTTTAACTATACTCTGCTGATTGATACAAAATAGGATGAAAAACCATTGGATCCTGGGACATGAGGAACTTGTTTAGCACAACCGGTGTTATGTGTACCACAGTTTTAACCATTAGGCCATTTCCACTGTAGCTTAGAGAAAAGAACCAGAGGACTGCTTTGGTAGAGCTGGACGTGCTGCTATAAGACGGCCTCGCTGTACAGCCCTCAAACGTGAGGACTTCTTTCTCCATAGGTACCAGACGGCCAATCAGTGCTTTCTAGAGTTCTTTAACTACTTCAGAATACAAGAATAGTACATCCATACTCCAACAGCCATTGAAAGATTCACATTCATGGGAAAACACAAGTCTTGATGAAATCTTGAGTTAAGCTATCTTTTAAGAAACTGGTTGAAACTGGTGAAAAGTTCATTACAATTCAAGCTTGATACCTGCCTCGGGCCAGAAGACCTACGTTGCATCAATTCTGAGTCAGTGGAAGCTACAGAATTGTTGCTGACCCTACACATTTGAATTTACAGAGCAGAGCCTGTCCCCTCCCTTCAAAGAGAAGGCAAATAAAGCACTCAAGAGGTACTGGTCTCATTGACTGTTTTTAACATAAAATGATTAATCAGATTGGAAGCAAAAACATTACTGCTGCTTCCCAACCGGAGGAGTGAAATGATCACACAGGACCCTTCTGCAGAGTGCGGGTTTTCTACCTGACGGTGAAGACGGGAGGGCAGGACACTTCTGCCCAAGGTCAACACACAAAATATTTGGTTTGAGATTTAAGACAGAAGGCACTTTTAACATTCTGATATCAGATGTTAACCATACAAACGTCCTGTCACAATTTCATTTGGGTTTACTTGAATCCCCTTCCAAAATTCTTCTTACTGCATGTGTGTCATTATGAGAGCAGTGGCGACACGACCAGATTTAGCCTTGAGATGTGTCTACCTGTTCCTATTCTCCCATGAAGCAAACTGCACAGCATGTCAGCCCTGAAGGTTACAAATCCAGTATTTGACTGCAAAACAACTAAATTAGACATCCGAGTGGTTAGTGCAGAAACAGTGAGCAAGAACACTGGCTCCCACGCTGGAGCGACGGGGCTTAGACTGGTCTTTTCCATCATAATACTGTTTGGTTGACTGGTACCAACGTTAAGGAAAAATATCTGCATGAAAATTCAACTGGTGGAAGAATCTTTACCTAATAATGCCAGGCTTATATTTCCAGCTTTTCTCCAAAGAAAAAATACCCATTTTTGGTCGGGTGTGGTGGCTCACACCTGTAATCCCAGCAGGCCGAGGCAGGCAGATCACGAGGTCAGGAGATTGATACCCTGGTGAAACCCCATCTCTACTAAAAATACAAAAAAAAATAGCCGGGCGCGGTGGTGGGCACGTGTAGTTGCAACTACTTGGGAGGCTGAGGCAGGAGAGTGGCGTGAACCCGGGAGGCGGAGCTTGCAGTGAGCCAAGATGGCACCACTGGGCTCCAGCCTGGGTGACAGCGAGACTCCGTCTCAAAGAAAAAAAAAAAAAAAACGATTTTCGCATCCTTAGTGTCCTGAAGGCCTTGAACTTGAAGGTCTGGCCACATGACTCATTCTGTAAGGTTAACAATTGGTCCAGTTTTATGACTGGACACAATCTGGACTTGAACGTTCCAATTCAATTTCTTCTTTTCAGAAGAGGGAGATGAAAGGGAACCAACCACCCTATTATTATTTTTTTCACCCTATTATTTGCTGCAACAACAGCGGCCAGTACTTTCCACAAGATGCTGTGTATAGGCTATTTTCACTATCTCCTCAGTCAATGCTGAACTGACAGTTCTTCAGTGCTACACTCCAACTAAACTGTACAGTAAGTTCTGCAGAAATGGATCTAATATTTCTATCTTTACAAATATCACATAAACGGATTCTAGTTGAATCTACATGTTTAAATCCATTGGCTAAAAACATACTACATATTGTAAACATGGCAATATTTAATACAGTATCTATTCTAGAATATTTTCATGTTATGATCACATTTGTTATACCTGAAATTGAATTTATGCACATTAAAGAATTACTAGCAATGGTTGCTGACTTTACAATTGAGGGCAGGGGGCTAGGGCTACATTTTATCATTTCAGAAACATCTTCAAAGTAAAGTTAAAGCTTGTCTTTGATTGGCTCGGCGTATCCTTTTTGTATCCATATTTAAAATGAAGATTGACACAGAAATTAGCGAGGGCCCCTTCTAATTTACAGGATTTTAAAAAATCAGTTTGAGATTCTTAGGGAAAGTGTCTGTTGTGAATAATAATAATAATAAAAACCTGCTGCAAAATAAACTGAATGGAAAACGGGCTTGAGACTGTCAGGGCAGAGTCTGTCGGGCGTCAGTCCTGCTTGGGCTGCAGCTGCCGCTTCCAGGCTTCGTTCAAGTAAACTAGTCGTTTGTAGTTGATACTGAGAAGAAGGAAGTTCAGCACGTACGTGACGACGCAGATGATGCAGAACTCCGTCAGCACAAAGTACAGAATGTAGGCCAGGTACAGGGACCCCACGACCGACATGATGGAGGACGTCATGAGGATCAAAGCCACCATGGTGCTTGTTGTCATGCCTGTAAGAGAAGAGACGCGGGCTCAATCAGGCCTTGGCGCTGGAGAGAGGCTTTCTGAGTGACAAGGACTAACACTGTGTGACTTGCTGCGGTGTTTGAATACTGATCTTCCTGCCAAACTCTGAAAATTGAGAACAGAAATACTGGTCTGTTTCGTTAAAATTATACAGGTTGACTCTAGCAAAATGCCAGTTTTTTGGCTTTTTTTTTTTTTTTTTCTTTTTTTGATACAGAGTCTCACTGTATCGCCCAGGGTGGAGTAGAGTGGCACAATCTCGACTCATGCAACCTTCACCTCTTGAGTTTAAGCAATTCTCCTGCCTCAGGCTCCGGAGTAGCCAGGATTACAGGCACGTGCCACCATGCCTGGCTAATTTTTGTATTTTTAGTAGAGACGGGCTTTCACCATGTTGGCCAGGTAGGTCTCCAACTCCTAACCTCAGGTGATCCACCCGCCTCAGCCTCCCAAAGTGCTGGGATTACAGGCGTGGGCCACCATGCCCGGCCAAATGCCAGTTTTATAGCTGCAATGTTTTTGATTTCTCAATCTTTCAGGTGAAATATTACTAATTTCATAAACTAACCTAGTTGAAAATATGCACACAAAGCAAATATGCAGTCTCACAATCACATTACGCAATGAAGCTGACTTGTAACATCAACAGCCCCAAGACACCAAATGAATAAAGGGACATGAGGACCGCAGCCTTTTTCTTCCGAGCTGCACACATTTGGTGAGAACCTTCTCTGGTTTTCACTACAGCCTCCCCATCTGTGGAAAGTAAAATTTGCTTTTCCATGTTTAGATCAGATTGATTAAAAATCCACAATGAGAGGTGACTACACCAACAAGTTGCTGAGGAGAGAAAAACTCTTGCTAAACATTCCAGGAAGGGCTCACCCTGGTGGATAAGGGAAACCACAGTTAGCTCGTTGGCTGTATGTGGGCCAAACCCGATCAAGAAAAATGGTGGACGTGTGTGCTAAACCCAGGCTCTCAGTACAAAAAGGCACCTAAAGCCAGGTGCGGTGGCTCATGCCTGTAATCCTAGCACTTTCAGAGGCCGAGGCAGGTAGATAAGATGTCAGGAGTTTGAGACTAGCCTGGCCAACATGGTGAAATGGCGTCTTTACTAAAAAATACCAAAAAAAAAAAAAAAAGAAAAAGAAAAAGGAACCATTAGTTGGGCATGGTATTGTATACTTGTAACCCCAGCTACAAGGCAGGCTGAGGCATGAGAATTACTTGAACCCAGGAGGCAGAGGTTGCAGTGAGCCAAGATTGCGCCACTGCACTCCAGCCTGGGTGACAGAGTAAGACTCTGTCTCAAAAAAAAAAAAAAAAAAAAGAAAGAAAAGAAAAAGAAAAAGAAAAGAAAAAAAAGGCACCTGAATTCTGGACTCTATCTTCACATGTATTGTTTTTAATTTCCTGTGGTCAACAGTATGGAGAATATGTGCATTTATTTTCAAGGACAGAGAAGGCAGAGCATGTTAAACTACCCTCCTACCCAATGACTCATGGGTAAAACTACCCTCCTACCCAATGACTCATGGGTAAGGATAACAGAAACAGGAACAAAATAACAGATGGGAGCAGGTTTGAAGAAGTCAATTAAAGAGACAGATTTTCTTTGTGTAATGTTTTATATACATATTTTTTTCCAGATAGAGTCTCCCTCTGTTGTCCAGGCTAGAGTGCAATGGCACAATGTCAGCTCACTGCAACCTCTGCTTCCCGGGTTCAAGCAATTCTCCTGCCTCAGCCTCCCAAGTAGCTGGGATTAGAGGTGTGCGCCACCACCCCCGACTGGTTTTTGTATTTTTAGTAAAGACAGGGTTTCACCATGTTGGCCAGGATGGTGTCGAACTACTGACCTCTTGATCCGCCCGTCTTTGCCTCCCAAAATGCTGGGATTATAGGTGTGAGCCCTTGAGCCTGGTCTGTTTTTAAAACTTTTGAACCATGTGAATGGATTACCTATGAAAAAATTAAATTAAAAATGCTGTATCTCAAACAGCTTAGAAGTGAGTACAGATGCCATGCTCTGGAAACTGTTGGGTTAGTTCAAATGTGCCTCCCGTAAAGACACCAACATTAAAAAGCATGTGAAGCATCTAAATGCAAGTCAAAAAAATGCAAATGAAAAAAACACATATGATACATATGATTTAAAATATGTATACAGCATGGCATTAAATTAATGGCATAAACAGAAATTTGACTGTAGCACCTCTATCTTCAAAAGTTAATCTAATCAAAGGCTTTTCTTTCTTTCTTTTTTTTTTTTTTTTTGCGACAGACTTTCCCTCTGTTGCCCAGGCTGGAGTGCGGTGGCATGATCTTGACTCACTGCAAGCTCTGCCTCCTGGGTTCACGCCATTCTTCTGCCTCAACCTCTCGAGTAGCTGGGATTACAGGCGCCTGCTACCACACCTGGCTAATTTTTATTTTTTAGTAGAGATGAGGTTTCACCGTGTTAGCCAGGATGGTCTAGATCTCCTGACCTCGTGATCCGCCCATCTGAGCCTCCCAAAGTGCTGGGATTACAGGCGTGAGCCACCGCACCTGGCCATTTCATAGTATTTTCTAATTTATTCAACCATTACCTATTTCTAAGCTACTTTTTTTTTTTTTTGCTACTTCACACTGTACTGCTATGAATATCCTTGTCCACACATCTTTGTACTTCTGCAAGATAAACAGATATGGAACTGGGGAAACTCGACAGAACAACTGACAATGATTTAGATTTACAATTTGCCTTATAACAAATCAATTTCAGATAGACAGAAGAGTTACATGTATTTTTAATTAACCAAATTAGAAGAGCTGACAGATAATGGAATATTAATAATTAAAATACAAAGACATTGGTATGCAACAAGATCTTTAAAAAAGGAGAAAAATAAAATGCAAAGACAACAATGGATGGATTTAACTCTAAAAATTTAATACAATACAAATTCATAACAGTAACAAAAAGGATAAAGAATGCGCTAAATGTTTGTAACACATATAAAAACATACTACTGTCGGGATCCCAATAACTAAATGGGCAATAAAAGGAAATTAAAAAGACTAAAATTTAATGTAATAGGTACTAATGTGTAGCTATTAGCAATTTTTCCAGGTTAAGATTATCATTACAATTAAAAAAAAAACAAATTTTACAAAATACTTTTTAAAAATGAAGACTGCTGGAACTTCAGGGAAACCAAAGAACTGAGAGAAAAGCAACTTGGTAACACCAATTAAAATAGAAAAATCTGTGTTTTTTGATCCTATGCCTGGAAATTTATTTTGTGGAGATAATTCAAAGAAGGAAAGAGCAGAAGGTCTTTAAACAAAGTTGATCACTGCAGCATTATTTAGAAGTAAAAGGTGTGGGCCGGGCACGGTGGCTCACGCCTGTAACCCCAGCACTTTGGGAGGCCGAGGTGCGTGGATCACGAGGTCAGGAGATCAAGACCATCCTGGCTAACACAGTGAGACCCCGTCTCTACTAAAAATACAAAAAATTAGCCGGGCATGTTGGCGGGCGCCTGTAGTCCCAGCTACTGGGGGGCTGAGGCAGAAGAATGGTGTGAACCCGGGAGGCAGAGCTTGCAGTGTGAGCTAAGATCGTGCCACTGCACTCCAGCCTGGGCGACAGAGCGAGACTCTGTCTCAAAAAAAAGTCAAAGGTGTGAAACCTAGATGTTAACAGTAACTGGATAAACAACACTATGTTGAAACACAGTTCACATTAAATTATTATTAGTTTTTGAGACAGGTCTTGGTCTGTCTCCCAGGCTGGAGTGCAGTGGTGTGATCTTGGCTCCCTGCAGCCTCCATCTCTTGGGCTCAAGTGATTCTCTCACCTCAGCCTTTCAAGTAGCTGGGACTACAGGTGTGTGCCACCACACCCAGCTACTTTTTATATTTTCTGTAGAGATGGAGTCTCGCCATGTTGCTCAGGCTTGTCTTGAACTCCCGGACTCAAGTGATCTGCCCTTCTCAGCCTCCCAAAGTACTAGGATTACAGGCGTGAGCCACCGCACCTGGCCCCAAATTATTATTATTATTATTATTATTATTATTATTATTATTTTTGAGATGGAGTTTTGCTCTTGTTGTCCAGGCTGGAGTGCAATGGTGCGATCTCAGCTCACTAAAACCTCTGTCTCCTGGGTTCAAGGGATTCTCCGGCCTCGGCCTCCCGAGTAGCTGGGATAACAGGCACTTGCCACCACGCCTGGCTAATTTTGTATTTTTAGTAGATACAGACTTTCACCATGTTGGCCAGGCTGGTCTCGAACTCCCAACCTCAAGTAATCTGCCCACCTTGGCCTCCGAAAGTGCTGGGATTACAGGCGTGAGCCACCGTGCCCAGCCCCAAAATTATTTTTAAAAGCAGAAGACTGTAGAAATAGTGGATATGTAAAGGTGATGGGATTATGAATATGGTTTCTTGTTAATGTCCCCTCAATATGTGATATTTTTCAAGGCTACACAGTCTATAAAATAAGGAAACACATTTACAGGGAACATGGGAGTGATAATTTCTGGAATGGGACTGGTTTTTCTGGACATCATGAGATACAGCTCTCCATGATTAAACAGCAATTGACATAAATTCAACATTAATATAAAAAAATTTTAGTGAATCAAGTTTTCACAACACAAAAATGTTGTACATGCTAGTGGCTCTATAACACATGCTTTTATTTAACATCAAGACACTTCAAGGCAAAGACACAAACTACTAAACGGAATATAACAACCTTATTTTTGTATTGATAAATACCAAGTAATAACTGTAGTATATAAAATATAAGTCCTAAGACACTGTTTGGCTGGTTTAATACACCATCCTTTCCAAAAATAGAATCAAAAAGACCAAATTTTCGACCCCATCTGTAAAATAAGGAAAACCAGTAACCCTATATTTGAATTTCCCTATTTAAAAAAATGTAAAATTATTTGAGAACGTTATCCAATTCTAAAATCAACTAAGTTGCCATATGTCTTAAATGTCCTGTGTTGAGGGAGTGATTTACCCCAAAAAGGGAGGCCAGTCACTAGATTTCTGATTAAAAATAATCATCTAAAATGAACATATCTAAAAGTGCCAATATACCCATCTGAATCAGTTGCCAATTTCTATATATTCTCTTTTCCAAAAGGTAGGGCAAAGTATTCATTTTCCAGTGGCATTAGTATTTGCAGAAGGAGACTTCTCTCTGCTTAAGCCAGGGTCTCTTAACAGTGGACCACTGACATTTTGGGCTACATAATTATTTGTGTTGTGAGGTGTTCTGTGCATTACATAACAGTACCCCTGGGCTCCACCCACTAGATGCTGCTAGTACTCCTCCACCCCAGGTGTGGCTACCAAAAACGCAGTCACAGCCATTGCCAAACGTCCCCGGGACACCACTGTCCGCATTTGAAAGCCATAGATATAAGTTGTGCTATTTATTCACTCAAATAATATAGATTGAAACGTTTTTTTCTTCACGAATTTCACCAGGATATGCATTAAGAAATATACTGGGAATGTATTTTTTAAATGTAGGGCTGGGCATGGTAGCTCACGCCTGTAATCTCAGCACTTTGGGAGGCCGAGGTGAGCAAATCATGAGGTCAAGAGTTCGAGACCAGGCTGAAACCCCTGTCTCTACTGAAAATACAAAAAATTAGCTGGGTGTGGTGGCACACACCTGTGGTCCCAGCTACTCAAGAGGCTGAGGCAGGAGAATCGCTTGAACCCAGGAGGTGGAGGTTGCAGTGAACCGAGATTGCACCACTGCACTCCAGCCTGGGCAACAAGAGCAAAACTCCATTAAAAAAAAAAAAAGGTAGGATAATATCAAAAACCGTAGGTCTTTCCTGGAGTCCTATCTCAGAAGTAAAAAACCAGATACATTATATGCCCTTTCAGGTTTTATTTGCAAGTTAACTTTAAATCTTGCATTTGACTTAAGATTTTTTAAATCTGATTTTCTTTTTATAAATTGTTAATACTGATTTGATAAAACTTGATACAAATATCAAACTAGCACTCATTTTGAATAAAAAAAACCTTTAAAGGTAATGTTAACTCTGGATGGAACAAGAGTGCTTCTTAAATACTAAAAAACATAACCAGTTATGGTGTTAAGTCAGTACAGAAACACTCTAAATAAAATCTAAACTTAGGTTCTGAAGACAAACTCCCCCAAAGCAAGGATAAATAAGTGATTCTTCACTGGCCACAATAGTTTAATGGCACTCGATGCCCAAGATATAGAATGAAACCCCTGCATAATGATGATGTTGGACGAGAAAAATCACCCCGATTTTACAAACAAGTGAAAGCCATGAAGATTTTTATTGTACAATTATGCAATCCTTTTTTTGCGGGGGGGGGGGGGGGGGGCGGGAAGGGGACAGGATCTTTCTCTGTTGCCCAGGCTACAGTGCAGTTGCAGTCATGACTCACTGCAGCCTCAACCTCCTAGTTTCAAGTAATTCTCCTGCCTCAACCTCCCAGTTTCAAGTAATTCTCCTGCCTCAACCTCCCAAAGTAGCTGAGACGACGACACCCAGCCTTTTTTTTTTTTTTTTTTTTTTTTTTTTTTTGTATTTTTTGTAGAGTTGGGGCTTTGCCATGTGCCAAGGCTGGTCTCGAATTACTGGGCTCAAGCAATCCTCCCACACTGGCCTCCCAAAAATCTGGGATTACAGGCTGAGCTATCACACCCAGCCTTCAGTTATACGTTTCAAAGAAAATAAAATAATTTCCATTATATTCATTTCTTCTTTCACTCATCTAAAGACTTATTGGGCATGTACTGTGTGCACTGGTGCTAGGTGCTGGGGATGCAGAAGTGAACAAGCCAGACAAGGTGCTGCCCTTGTGGACCTTAAATTCTATTTAGGGAAGAAATAAACAGGTAAACAAACGCCAGGTTACCTGCAGAAATGGACACACCTGGTAACAGATACACGGAAAAACACTGGCCTCAAGTGATCCGCCCCCCTCTGGTTCCCAAAGTGCTGGGGTTACTGTTCCTGGCCTCTGTCCCTGCATCTTTATGTGCCTGCAACACCAAGAGGGAGCTCTTGGCCCCTGGATTAGGGTCAGGGCCCCAGAGGCCCAGGGTCAAGGCTATGGCTGCATCCTAAGGACAAGAGGCTGCATCTGACAGGTATGGAAGAGGCTCTGCTGAGGCCTCCTTGAATTCCTGCTGGGGAAAGCAAGTGGAGGTGCTCCTTGAAGAAACAGGGGGATCCCACCGATCTCAGGGGTTCTGTTCTGGCCTGCGACCCTGGATCGTCCAGCCTGGGCCGGGATGGGGAGCAGACCTCGCCCTTCTTGGCTGGGGCTGAGGGTGAGGGTCCCGTTTCCCCAAAGGCCTAGCCTGGGGTTCCAGCCGCAAGCCCCCCTGGGCAGCGCCCAGCCTCGCCCCGCCCCGCCCCTCCAGGCCTGGCACTCGTCCTGAACCAAGATTGCGCCGACGGCCTCGGGGGCGTCACGCCACCTGCCAGTGTCTCCCGACCCGCCCTAGGGGCACCTCCTGCGCTGCTCTTAACCCCGCAGATGGTGGCCGAGCGGGAGAGCGGGAAGCATGGCCCGGAGGACTGCGGTGGCCTGGGCGGCGCTCGGGCCGCTGTTGTGGGGCTGCGCGCTGGCGCTGCAGGGCGGGATGCTGTACCCCCGGGAGAGCCCGTCGCGGGAGCGCAAGGAGCTGGACGGCCTCTGGAGCTTCCGCGCTGACTTCTCCCACAACCGACGCCGGGGCTTCGAGGAGCAGTGGTACCGGCGGCCGCTGCGGGAGGTGCGATCTGGGGGCAGGGCCGGGAGGCGCCCGGAAGCCCGGCGATGGGAGTGGGGGAGCCCGGGCCCCCCCGCAGGCTCCTTCCCCTGGGCTTCCCGGAGCTGGGAGCCCGCAGGAGGTTAAAGGTCAACGGGCTTAGGGGGCGTGGGGTTGGGGGACGTGGGAATGGGAGCACCCTGGAGGGCCGGGGTGGAGGAGGCAGGAAGAGGAGAAAAGGCTCCTGCCCAGCCCCTTCCCGAGGCGAAGGCTGAGCTTGGGCAGTGTCCTTCCTTTTAATATTTATTTTTAATTAAAAAAATTTTTTTTGAGATTGGATTTGCCCCTGTCTCCCAGGCTGGAGGGGAGTAGCGCCATCCTAACTTCTGAGCTCCAGCAGTTCTCCCGCCCCAGCTTTGCAGTTTAGCTGGGGCCACCACGCCTAGCTAAGTGAAAACACACACACACACACACACACACAAAACCTTATCCAGGCTCGGTGGCTCACGCCTGTTATCCCAGCACTTTGGGAGGCGGAGGCGGGTGAATCACCTGAGGCCAGGAGTTTGAGACCAGGCTGGCCAACATAACATGGTGAAACCTCGTCTCTACTAAAAATATAAAAATTAGCCGAGTGTGGTGGCTCACGCCTGTAATCCCAGAACTTTGGGAGGTCGAGGCGGGTGGATTACAAGGTAGGAGATCAAAACCATCCTGGCTAACATGGTGAAACCCCGTCTCTACTAAAAATACAAAAAAATTACCTGGGTGTGGTGGCGGGTGCCTGTAGTCCCAGCTACTAGGGATGCTGAGGCAGGAGAATGGCATGAACTGGGGAGGCGGAGCTTGCAATGAGTCCGAGATCCCGCCACTGTACTCCAGCCTGGCAACAGAGCAGACTCTGTCTCAATAAATAAATAAATAAATAAATAAATACTCACTCCGGTACCCAGGCTGGTCTCAAACTCCTGGCCTCAAGCCATCCTCCCACGTTGACCTCCCAAAGCGCTGATTACAGTCATGAGCCACCCAGACACTTGTCAGGCCAGAGCGACAGGCGCTGCACAGAACTGGGCCAGGGGATCGGGAGGAGGGGACAGTTTAGACATCCTGAAGTCAGCTCTGCTGAGGAGGGAAGGTCCCTTGGTTTTCATGGTTCAGATAGAGGACAGGACCTGACATCAGGCCAAGGACGCGACCCCTGTTCCTCTCCTGACTTGGATGTGGTCAGCAGAGAAGTGGGACCCGGTGAGGTCTATATCCTCTTTTTCCGACTTTGCAGCATTCAGTACAGGAGGGAGAGAGGAGGGGGCTGGGTGCCAGTGTGCGCCCCATTCACAGTGTCCTAAGCAAAGTTCCCCCCTATCCCCCCAACCAGCCTTCCTCCCTGTGACAGGCAGTGGGCCATCTGCCTCTTAGTCACGGGTCTGAACCTTCTTGCCTCTGGCTGGGATGTGGCCCTGGGCTTGCTCCTGTCTCAGGAGATATTGGGCCCCACCCATTCCGAGGAGGAACTCCTGGCTCCCCTGGCCCAGGTGCACGAACTGCCCTGGCAATTGACCTGTTATCAGCAAGTTATCTGTCTGTTCCGCCAAGAGTCCTCACAATGTGTCAGGGCTTTTGCACTAAGCCTGGGATACAGCTGTGCAGCACACTGGTCCCGGATCCCTTTGGGGGCCTAGGAGCTGAGCCCAGCCCTTCTCTCCACAGTCAGGCCCCACCCTGGACATGCCGGTTCCCTCCAGCTTCAACGACATCAGCCAGGACTGGCGTCTGTGGGATTTTGTTGGCTGGGTGTGGTATGAACGGGAGGTGATCCTGCCGGAGCGATGGACCCAGGACCTGAGCACAAGAGTGGTGCTGAGGATTGGCAGTGCCCACGCCTATGCCATCGTGGTCAGTGCGGTCAGGAGCAGGCAGGGTGGGTGGGCACGGCTGTTGCACGGTATGGGACCCCCAGCTGCCACCCACAGCCTGTCTGCCAGGGTGGGATGGTGAGGTGGCCTGATCTACCCCATTGGAATGCCATTCTTCCTGTCTGGTGGGCAGGCCCCAGAGCCCCAGGCTGCAGGTTATATGAGGGAGTGCCTGATAGCAGGGCCCCTCCTCATGCCCTGACCTGCCACCCCCTGCCCATGTCTCCTGTGTCTGCAGTGGGTGAATGGGGTCGACACGCTAGAGCATGAGGGGGGCTACCTCCCCTTTGAGGCCGACATCAGTAACCTGGTCCAGGTGGGGCCCCTGTCCTCCCAGCTCCGCATCACTATTGCCATCAACAACACACTCACCCCCACCACCCTGCCACCAGGGACCATCCAATACCTGACCGACACCTCCAAGTGGGTACCATCCTGCTTCCATTGCACGCACCCACCTTCCCGCCCCACCCCGTGGTCTTCCTGCTAGGGACAGGGTGGCCTTTGCAGAGTGGAGGCCCTGGATCTGGGGAGGCTGGGAAGGCATGTGAGCTGAGGTCAAGGGACCCGGGGTAAGGGCCCAGCGAACCACAGCCCTCCCACTCTAGCTATCCCAAGGGTTACTTTGTCCAGAACATATACTTTGACTTCTTCAACTACGCGGGACTGCAGCGGTCTGTGCTTCTGTACACGACACCCACCGCCTACATCGATGACATCACCATCACCACCAGCGTGGAGCACGACAGTGGTGAGGGCTTCTGGTAGGATCCTCCCTCAGCGGGGCCCAGGGTGGCTCTGTTTGTTCCCTGTTTGGAAAGCTCTCCCAGGAAAAAGGTGCTCCCAGCATCTCTAAACCCTCACAGGTTCCCATCCACCTACAAAGCTAAATTCCAGGCTGTCTGAGTGGGCACGGGCTCCCGAAATCACCCGTGTGGTTGACCTCCCTTGGAGAAGAGGGGTCTGGCCTAACGTCACACAGCTCAGGGTGGCAGTCGTGTCCCTTCACCACTGTGCTGCTCTCACTCCAGCTCCCCTTGCTACACATCATGTTCAAGGAACAGGCAGCTTCGGGGGGCCGGGCACGGTGGCTCACACCTGTCATCCAGCACTTTGCAAGAAGGCCCTGGTAGAAGGATCACTTGAGGCCAGTAGTTCAAGATCAGCCTGAGCAACATAGCGAGGCCATCACCACAAAAAATTAAAAAATTAGCCAGGCATGGTGATGCATACCGGTAGTCCCAGCTGCTGAGGCAGGAGAATCACTTGAGCCTGGGTGCAGTGAGCTATGACCATGCCACTGCACTCTGGTCTGGGCAACAGAGGGAGACCCTGTCTTTCTTTCTCTCTCTTTCTCTCTTTTTGTTTTTTGAGATGGAGTCTCTCTTTGTCACCAGGCTGGAGGGCAATGGTGCGATCTCAGCCCACTGCAAACTCTGCCTCCTGGGTTCAAGTGATTCTCCTGCGTCAACCCCCCGAGTAGCTGGGATTACAGGCATCCGCCACCAGGCCTGGATAATTTTTGTATTTTTTTTTAGTAGAGACGGGGTTTCTACTAAACCCTCTACTAAATCATGTTGGCCTGATTGGTCTTGAACTCCTAACCTCAGGTGATCCACCCTCCTCAACCTGCCAAAGTGCAAGGATTACAGGTGTGAGCCACCTCACCCAGCTGGGATACACTGTGTGCTTTTTTTGTTTTTGTTTTTTTTGTTTGTTTGTTTTTTGAGATGGAGTCTTGCTCTGTTGCCCAGGATGGAGTGTGGTGGCATGATTGTGGCTCAGCAATCTCTGCCTCCCGGGTTCAAGCAATTTTCCTGCCTCAGCCTCCCGAGCAGCTGGGACCTCAGGTGTGTGCCACCATGCCCAGCTAATTTTTGTATTTTTAATAGAAACAGGGTTTCACCATGTTGGCCAGGCTGGTTCGAACTCCTGACTTCTGGATCCACGTGCCTCAGCCTCCCAAAACGCTGGGATTACAGGTGTGAGCCACCACACCGGGCCTGGGATATCCTGTATTTAAGAAAAATCTTTGTTTTAAGTTTTTTCTTTTTTAAAAATAGGTCTTTTTCTCTTTCTGAGATGAGGCCTTGCACTGTGGCCCAGGCTAGAGTGCAGTGGTGAGACTACTGACAGCTGTTGTGGGGCCACAGTTCTAAGTTTAAAAGAATTTAGGCTGGGTGTGGTGGCTAATGCCTGTCATCCCAGCACTTTGGGAGTCCAAGGTAGGCAGATTGCTTGAGCTGCAAAGTTCGAGACCAGCCTGGGCAACATAGTGAGACCCTGTCTGAAAAAATAAATAAATAAAAAAGAATTGAAAGAAGAATCACACAGCCAAAGCGATGGAGCATAGAGCAATTTATTGCCCAGGAAAAGTATTTTGGAAGTAAAGTTTAGAATAGCCTGGGTGCAGTGGCTCATGCCTGTCATCCCAGCACTTTTGGAGGCCGAGGCGGGTGGATCACTTGAGCTCAGAAGTTCAAACCAGCCTACCCAGCGTTAGCTGGGCATTGTGGTGTGAGCCTGCAATCCCGCTACTCAGAAGGTTGAGATGGGAGAATTGCTTGAACCCGGGAGGTGGAGGTTGCAGTGAGCTGAGATTGCAACACTGCACTCCAGCCTGGGTGACAGAGCGACACCCCAACTCAAAAAAAACAGTGAAGTGCAAAACACACGGTTCACCCTGAGACACAGAATTCAGGACAGGCTGCTCGTAAGGATGAGACAGCACCGATTATTACTGCGGAAACTCCCTTTCTGGAAGTCTTCCATGATGAATTCCTAAGGAGCTGGGAAGAGGTGTTACTGTAAGCACGTTCTGGGCTGTCCTCTGGGTGCTGCATATGCGCAGTAGCTGTACATGCGTGTTCACACGTCACGTGTCTCAACGCCGTGGCTGGCATGTCCAAAGGGCACAGTCACTTCTTGACTACCTACCCTGCCTCAAGATCATAGCTCACTGCAGCCCCGAACTCCTGGCTCAAGCAGTCCTCCCACTTCAGCCTCCCAAGTAGCTGGGGCTGCTGGGGCTGCAAGCACGCACTAGCACGCCCGGCTGATTGTTTGTGTTTTTAGGGAAGAAGTGGTTTCCCTGTGTTACCCAGGCTGGTCTTGAACTCCTGGGCTCAAGCGATCCTCCCACCTCAGCCTCCCCAAGTGTTGGGATTACAGGTCTGACCACTGTGCCTGGCCGAAAAATATCTTTTTTTCAATTAAAAAAAGTACTGGGTGCGGTGGCTCACACCTGTAATCCCAGCACTTTGGGAGGCCAAGGTGGGTGGATCACCTAAGGTCAGGGGTTCTAGAGCAGCCTGGCCAGTATGGCAAAACCCCATCTCTACTAAAGATACAAAAATTCACCAAGCATGGTGGTACAAGCCTATAATCCTAGGTACTTGGGAGGCTGAGGCAGGAGAATCACCTGAACCCCAAAGGTGGAGGTTGCAGTAAGCTTCCAGCCTGGGGGACAGAGTGAGACTCCATCTCAAAAAAATAATTTAAAAATTAACTTTAAAAAAAGCAACAGAAGCAAATGGCTGCCTGGCAGCGGTGGCTGCAGGGCACTCCCGTTTGTGCCACTCAGGTCGTGTCCCTCCCACAGCCCTGCTCTCTCTCGTTTCTCGCAGGGCTGGTGAATTACCAGATCTCTGTCAAGGGCAGTAACCTGTTCGAGTTGGAAGTGCGTCTTCTGGATGCAGAAAACAAACTTGTGGCGAACGGGGCAGGAACCCAGGGCCAACTGAAGGTGCCGGGTGCCAGGCTCTGGTGGCCATACCTGATGCACAAACGCCCCGCCTATCTGTACTCGTTGGAGGTAATGGTGGTTTGGGGCTTGCCCAAGGGAGGTCTTTTGCCCGCATCTGGTGACCTTGGCTTCAGCAGGAGCCCAGGACAGGTGAACGGGCAGCGTGGTCCTCTGAGCTTTGTGATGTTTCTCACCCTTGGTGGGAGGCCCAGTTTTTTTTGTTGTTGTTGTTTTGTTTTTGAGATGGTCTCACTCTGTCACCCCGGCTGGAGTGCAGTGGCCTGATCACAGCTTACTGCAGCCTTGAGCTCTCAGCCTACAGCAATCCTCCTACCTTGGCCTCCTGAGTAGCTGGGACTACAGGCACATGCCGCCATGCCTGGCTAATTAAAGAAAAAATTTTTGTAGGCTGGCCATGGTGGCTCATGCCTATAATCCCAGCATTTTGGGAGGCTGAGGCAGATGGATTACTTGAGGCCAGGAGTTTGAGACCAGCCTGGCCAACATAGTGAAACCCCATCTCTACTAAAAATATGACAATTTGCTGGGCATGGTGGTGCACACCTGTAATTCCAGCTACTCGGGAGGCTGAGGCAGGAGAATTGCTTGAACTCAGGAGGCAGAGGGTGCAGTGAGCTGAGATCACACCACTGCAGTCCAGCCTGGGGGACAGAGTGAGACGGTCTCAAAAAAAAAATTTTTTTTTAATAGAGATGGGTTGCAGTCTGTCGCCAGGCTGGTCTTGAGTTCCTGGACTCAAGTGATCCTCCTGCCTTAGCCTCCAAAAGTGTGAGAACTCCTGGCATGAGCCTCCTTGTCTGGTCAAGGGGTAGGCCCCAGGGAAGGCCCCATTTTGAAGGGCACTTCCCCAGGGTCAGCCAGGGAAGGGCAGAGCCTCTGATTGCTGCATCTCTGCTTATAGGCCCAGGGGCACCTGCTGGGGTGCACGAGGGGCCTTCCCAGCAGAGGGCTCAGGCTGTTGGGGTGCTCACACCTGTGCTTTGGTTGTTGTAGGTGCGGCTGACTGCACAGACATCACTGGGGCCTGTGTCTGACTTCTACACACTCCCTGTGGGGATCCGCACTGTGAATGTCACCAAAAGCCAGTTCCTCATCAATGGGAAACCTTTCTATTTCCACGGCGTCAACAAGCATGAGGATGCGGACGTGCGTTGGGGCTCCTGGGTCCTTGTGGGGGCTGCTTCTGGTCACCCTCCACTTTCACCTTCCCTGTGTCCTGCAGTTGAGGGCAGCTCAGGGCAATGAGGCAAATGGCTCCAAATGGAGAGGGGACTCGTGGGGTGGCTCTCCAGGGTCCTGGCTCTTGGAGAAAGTGCACCTTTGACAGGGACGGGTCATTCAGTTCTGTTGTCCCGTAGATCCGAGGGAAGGGCTTCGACTGGCCGCTGCTGGTGAAGGACTTCAACCTGCTTCGCTGGCTTGGTGCCAACGCCTTCCGCACCAGCCACTACCCCTACGCTGAGGAAGTGCTGCAGATGTGTGACCGCTATGGGATTGTGGTCATCGATGAGTGTCCTGGCGTGGGCCTGGAGCTGCCGTGAGTTCCTGCTGTGCACCTGCTCCGCCTGCCCAGCCCGTGGGCTGCACCATGACCCTCTGTCCCTTCCCTCCTGGCCTGCAGGCAGTTCTTCAACAACGTGTCCCTGCAGAACCACATGCAGGTGATGGAGGAAGTGGTGCGCAGGGACAAGAACCACCCCGCCGTCGTGATGTGGTCTGTGGCCAATGAGCCTGCGTCCTACCTAGAATCTGCCGGCTACTACTTGAAGTGAGTGCCCCCTGCCTGCCCTCGGCTAGGTTGGGGAGGAGACCCTGGCAGGTGGCTGGCTGGGGTGGGCGTGTTCTGTTCGAGATCAGCCTCCCATCCAGCCCAATGGGAAGGCCGTCTATACCTGGACATTCAGGGGACCAAATACCCACCCACATTGTGGTTTTCTATTTATTTATTTTTATTTTTGAGATGGAGTCTCACTGTGTTGCCTAGGCTGGAGTGCGGTGGCGTGATCTTGGCACACTACAACCTCTGCCTCCCGGGTTCAAGTGATTCTCCTGCCTTAGCCTCCCGAGTAGCTAGGATTACAGGCACCCATGAGCCACTGTGCCTGGCCTGGTTTTTTTTTTTTTTTTTCGAAACAGGTTCTCACTCTGGTTGCTGAGGTTAGAGTGCAGTGGTGCAATGTTGGCTCACTGCAGCCTTGACTTCCCAGGCTCACGTGATCCTCCTGCCTCAGCCTCCCAAGTAGCTGGGATTATAGATGTGTGTCATCACACTCAGCTAATTTTTGCTTTTTTTTGTTTGTTTTTTGATATGGAGTCTCCCTCTGTTGCCCAGGCTGGAGTGCAGGGGCATGATCTCAGCTAACTGCAACCTCTGCCTCCTGGGTTCAAGCGATTCTCCAGCCTCAGCTTCCCGAGTAGCTGGGATTACAGGCATCGGCCACCACGCCCGCTGACTTTTGCCTTTTTTGTTGTTGTTGTTGAGATGGAGTCTCACTCTGTGGCCAGGCTGGAGTGCAGTGGTGCAATCTCAGCTCACTGCAACCTTCACCTCCCAGGTTCAAGTGATTCTCTTGCCTCAGCCTCTTGAGTAGTTGGGACTACAGGCACATGCCAACACACCCTGCTAATTTTTGTATTTTTAGTAGAGATGGTGTTTTACCATTTTGACCAGGGTGGTCTCGATCTCTGATCTCGTGATCTGCCCACCTCGGCCTCCCGAAGTGCTGGGATTACAGACGTGAGCCACCGCGCCTGGCCAACTTTTGCATTTTTCAGTAGAGACGGGGTTTCACTATGTTGGGCCAGGCTGGTCTTGGACTCCTGACCTCAGGAGATCCACTTACCTCGGTCTCCCAAGTGCTGGGATTACAGGTGGGAGCCACCGTGCCCGGCTAATTTTTGTATTTTTAGTAGAGACTGGGTTTCACCATGTTTGCCAGGCTGGCCTGGAACTCCTGGCCTCTAGTGATCCTCCTGCCTCAGCTTCCCAAAGTGCAGGGATTACAGGAGTGAACCACTGCTGGCCCCCTTTTCTTCCTTACAATCGTGCAGTTCTAACTTAGTGTCCAGAGTAGGTTTTTCACTTGCGGTAGAGGCAGCAGAGGTGGTAGAAATGCTTCTTGACTCATACAGCACACCCCAGTTTCATACAGTGCTTTGGGCTGAGCCAAGTCTGCAGCAGGCAGAAGGCTCTGAGAAGTTGTCGCAGCCTGGGCCGTGGACAATTCAGAGCTCAGGCCACAGGGGTGTGCTCAGCAGGACTGGGTGGACAGGACGTTTGTTGCGAAGGGAAGGGGAAGAGTACAGGCTTCCAGGAGCAGGTGTTTGAGGCTTCCAGACACGCTTCTTTGGGAGGTGGCCAGAGGAGATGCCTGTTTTCTGGGGCAGGATTTGGAGGGAGCCACCCAGGCTGGAGAGGTTCAGCCAGGCTGTCCCAAGACTTTGAAGCATCCCATCTGAGAGCCTGGCTGTTGGAGAGTGTGGGTTTGGAACTTGAGGTAGGGGGTTCTGTTCTGATCTGTGCCAGCCACAGCCTTTGGATGGGCAGAGCAATGATTGGGGAGGGCATAAAAGAAGAAATGAACTGAGGAAGGAGGAAAACAGGCTTCAACAACAGTCTAGGCTGGGCGTGGTGGCTCACGCCTGTAATCCCAGCACTTTGGGAGGCCAAGGTGAGTGGATCACCTGAGGTCAGGAGTTTGAGACCAGCCTGGCCAACAGATATATTGAAACCCCATCTCTACTAAAAATACAAAAATTAGCCAGGCGCGTAGGTGGGCGCCTGTAATCCCAGCTACTTGGGAGACTGAAGCAGAAGAATCCCTTGAACCTGGGAGGCGGAGGTTGCAGTGAGCCTAGATCATGTCATTGCACTCCAGCCTGGGCTACAGAGTGAGATTCTGTCTCTTAAAAAAAAAAAAAAAAAAAAAACACAAACAAACAAACAAAAAACCAGTCTACTGTGGAGGCCTTGGGTGGGTGCTGGGAGCTCTGAGCACAGATGGGTTCTTCTGTTGGGTTTTTCTTCTTTTCATCCCTACTGGTTAACTCTACTCAGCATCAGGGCCATTTCTTCTTCTTCTTTTTATTTTGAGACAGAGTTTTGCTCTTGTTGCCCAGGCTGGAGTGCAATGGTGCCATCTTGGCTCACGGCAACTTCTGCCTTCCAGGTTCAAGCAATTCTCCTGCCTCAGCCTCCTGAGTAGCTGGGATTACAGGCATGTGCCACTATGCCCGGCTAATTTTGTATTTTTAGTAGAGACAGGGTTTCTCCATGTTGGTCAGGCTGGTCTCAAACTCCCGACCTCAGGTGATCCGCCCCCCTCAGCCTCCCAAAGTGCTGGGATTATAGGTGTGAGCCACTGCGCCTGGCCTGCGGGCCGTTTTTTCTAAGAGGCTGTCCCTGACTCTCCAGTCCAAGTTATGTTTATTGTCTAGCAGAGCCCAATTTCTGCCACCACTTGTCACTTCCATTTGAAACATTTCTTTCATTGTTTGTTTTTCAGAGTCAGGGTCTCGCTGTTCCCCAGGCTGAAGTGCAGTGGTGCAGTCACGGCTCATTGCCACCTCGGCCTCCTGGGCTTAAGCGATCCTCCCCACTCAGCCTCCCAAATACCTGGGACCACAGGCGTGCACCGCCATGCCAGGCTAAGTTTAAATTTTTTTTTCACAAGATGGAGTCTTGCTCTGTTGCCCAGGCTGGAGAGCAGTGGTGTGATTTCAGCTCACTACAACCTCTACCTCCTGGGTTCAAGCAATTCTCCTGCTTCATGTGTAGCTGGCATTACAGGTGCGTGCCACCATGTCTGGCTAGTTTTTTTTTTTTGTATTTTTCGTAGAGATGAAATTCCATCATGTTGGCCAGGCTGGTCTGAAACTCTTGATCTCATGATCCATCTGCCTTAACCTCCCAAAGTCCTGGGGGGATTACAGTCATGAGCCACCATGCCCGCCCCTAATTTTTAAATTTGTTGTAGAAACAAGGTCTTGCTATATTGCCCAGGCTGGTCTTGAAATGCTGGTCTCTAGTAAGCCTCCAAAGTGCTGGGATTCTAGGCGTGAGCCACCATGCCCAGCTCTTACACCATTTCTCTGTGCATACGTCTCCACTCCCACTGCCCAGGACCTGTGGACTTAGATTTGATCACTGCTGAGCACCTTGCACCCAGCCCCATGCCTACTTTCCAGGGAGTGCCCCTGTTTGCTTGATGCATTAATAAATACCCCACCCAATTCTGCACCCATCCACTCCTGTGTTCAAGAGCTGTTTCAGGGAGTCAACCTCATTTTTAGCAGTGTTAAGCCCAGTGGCCTCGGCTCTGTGTACCTGGAAGGGTGGCTACTCTTCTGGGAGGATAGGATTCAGAGACGGGGGGAGAAAAAGTGATGTTAGAGAGCTCGGTCTAGGACTACAGGAACATGTGCCCTTACTTAAAATACATCTCCAGTTAGGGAAGAAAGCAGCAGCTCCATGCTTTTTTGTTTTTTGTTTCCTTTGTTTTTGTTTGTTTGTTTTGAGACAGGGTCTTGCTCTGTGGACCAGGCTGGAGTGCAGTGGCGCGATCTCAGCTCACTGCAACCTCCACCTCCTGGGTTCCAGTGATTCTTGTACTTCAGCCTCCCAAGTAGCTGGGGTTACAGACACGCGCCACCATGCCCGGCTAATTTTTGTATTTGTAGTAGAGAAGGGGTTTCACCATGTTGGCCAGGCTGATCTTGAACTCCTGACCTCAGGTGGTCCACCTGCCTCGGCCTCCCAAACTGCTGGGATTACGGGTGTGAGCCATCTTGCCTGGCCCCGTGTTGTGTTCTGGCGGGGGAAGATGGGACAGAGAGGATGGGAGGGTGTCTGAGCCCTTGGACTGACAGAACCTGTGTCTTCTGCCTTTTGTGGACAGGATGGTGATCGCTCACACCAAAGCTTTGGACCCCTCCCGGCCTGTGACCTTTGTGACCAGATCCAACTATGCAGCAGACAAGGGGGTGAGCCTGGGGGCCCCCGTCCCACTTCTCCCTGCCTTTGCCTAGGCTCGTCCTGAAACCTGCTCATTGGAACATCTGGAAAGAACCATGCGCTGCCAGTCTGGGTTTTTTTTCATTTTGTTTTTTACTTAAAATTATAGAGACAGGGTCTTGCCATGTTGCCCAGGCTGGTCTCGAACTCCTGGGCTCAAGCGATCCTCCTGCCTCAGCCTCCCAAAGGGCTGGGGTTACAGGTGTGGGCCACTGTGCCCAGCCACATCCAGTCTGTTTTCACAGATGGTCTTTGGGTTAATGAGAATTCTCCCCCTGCTTACTGGCCAGGCAGTGCGGCTTTCTCAATCCAGTGAGGCTGGGCATAGGGAGATGGGATTTGTTTGCTCAGTTTGGACTCAGCGTTTTTTGCACTTCAATGTAATAGACTCATAAAACATCAAAGGTTTAAGGGAACTTAGAGTTCATCTGGTCCACGCCTGGCTGATGAGAATCTCTAGGGGAAGTTTTTATGAAATGCCAGATCTCTACATTCTTAGATCCTGATTTAGTAACTCCAAGGTTGGAACCTAAGTTTTCCTTTTTCTTGTATAGAGGCAAGGTCTTACTCTGTTGCCCTGGCTGGAGTGCAGTGGTGTGATCACAGCTCACTGCAGTCTTGAATTCCTGAGCCCAAGGGATCCTCCTGCCTCAGCCTCCAGAGTCTCTGGGACTCCAGGTTTTCACCACCGTGCCTGCCTAATTTTACATTTTTTTTGTAGAGGTGGGATCTCTCTATGTTGCCCAGGCTGGTCTCAAACTCTTGAGCTCAAGTGATCTCCTGCCTTGGCCTCCCAAAGTGCTGGGATTACAGGGACGAGTGACAGGGCCTGGCTGACATTAACATTCTTTTTTTTTTTTGAGATGGAGTCTTGCTCTGTTGCCCAGGCTTGAGTGAAATGGCGCAATCTCAGCTCACTGCAACCTCCTCCTCCCGGGTTCAAGCAATTCTGCCTCAGCCTCCTGAGTAGATGGGATTACAGTGGACAACACCACACCTGGCTAATTTTTGTATTTTTTAGTAGAGATGGGGTTTTGCCATGTTAGCCAGGCTGATCTCAAACTCCTGACCTCAGGATCCAACACCTCGGCCTCCCAAAGTGCTGGGATTACAGGTGTGAACCACCGCACCCAGCCAGCATTTTTGCTAGAAAGAAGTGTGTTCAGGACACATTAGAAACTAGCCAGTTGGACACAGAAGCCTCTGCTGCTCAGCTGTGAGCACTGCTTTGCTGAAGCTGGGGGTGGTCCTACTCAGTCTTCCCTGCCCTGCTCCTAGGATGGACTCTTGCAAGGCTTCTACAGCCCACAGTGCTGCCTCGTGAAAGCTGCCTCAAGATTCTCTGTGACAGCCAGGCATGGTGGCTTACGTCTATCAACGCAGCACTTTGGGAGGCTGAGGCAGGCAGATCACTTGAGGTCAGGAGTTCAAGACCAGCCCAGCCAACTGGTGAAACCTCGTTTCTACCAAAAATACAAAAAACTAGCCAGGCGTGGTGGTGCGCACCTGTAATCCTAGCTACTTGGGAGGCTGAGGCACAAGAAGCACCTGATCACGGGAGGCAGAGGTTGCAGTGAGCTGAGATCGCACCACTAACATTCTAGCTTGGGCGACAGAGCGAGACTATGTCTCCAAAATAAAACAAAAGATTCTCTGTGAGAATGACTTCATCGGCCCCTCGGGTGGGAACGCTTCTCCAGGGCAAGGTGAGGGGAAGCCCAGTGATGGGAGTGCTGCCTGGAGAGGACGCAGTTCCAGTGGCGGGGGCCCTGGGCTTTGGCTGAGGACTGTGCGTTGGCAGCTGCTGTGCCTCCCACAGCCCTTCCCAGCTGCGCATGTCGTGAGCATCAACGTGGAGTGACAGGCCTGCCTCCTTTGGGCCACTATGTGACCATGTTTCCTGCCTATGGAGCAGGGTAATTTCAGGATCTAAATTGGTGTACTTGCATGTTCTCAGCCCCAGGAGACAGCTCTTCCCGTTCTAGGTGTTTTTTTTGTTTGTTTTGTTTTTGTTTTTAGTAGAAATGGGGACTTGTGATGTTGCCCAGGCTGGTCTCGAACTCCTGGGATCAAGCGATCCTCCCACCTTGGCCTCCCAATGTGCGGGAATTACAGGCATGAGCCACCGTGCCCTGCTAATTTTCTTACTACTATTTTTTGTAGAGCTGGGGTCTTGCTGTGTTGCCCAGGCTGGTCTCGAACTCCTGGCCTCAAGCCATCCTCCTGCCTCAGCATCCCAGAGTGCTGGGATTACATCCCCTTCTTACCTTCTCTGTCAGAGAAGCCCCCACAGTGTGTGAGTGCTGAGTCATGCTGTCTTCTGGGTGCTGAACGGTCTCTGCCGCTCTGGTCCTAGGCTCCATATGTGGACGTGATCTGTGTGAACAGCTACTACTCTTGGTATAATGACTTCGGGCACCTGGAGTTGATTCAGCGGCAGCTTACCACCCAGTTTGAGAACTGGTATAAGACGTATCAGAAGCCCATTATTCAGAGCGAGTATGGAGCGGAAGCGATTGTTGGGTTTCACCAGGTAAGCGATGTTGAGCTTTCTGTTTGTGTGTTCTCTCGAGGCAGAGATGTCACTCACCTCCCCCGGCCTGCCCTGCGCCCACTGCACTGCTCCCCTCACTTCAGCTTTGGGCTCTCCTCCCTCTGCCCTGCCCACGTTCTCTCCTGCCAGCAGCCAGGCCTTGGCCCCCTTTGCTTGGTCCTCAGAGGTGGCCTCCTTACCGGCTTTGTTTCCAGACAGCCTCCTATCACCTGTGCCCAAGTAGTCTTTCTAGCAAATCCAGATTTGTATTTGTTTTTGAGACTGGGTCTCTCTGTCACTAAGGCTAGAGTGTGGTGGTGCAATCACTGCTCACTGCAGCCTTAACCTCTTGGGCTCAAGTGATCCTCCCACCTCAGCCTCCTGAGTAGCTGGGACCATAGGCACATGCCAATATGCCTGGCTAATTTTTTTTACTTTTGTAGAGACGGGGTCTTGCTGTGTTGCCCAGGCTGGTTTTGATTCCTGGGCTCAAGTGATCTCCTGCCTCACTGAGATTACAGGTGTGAGCCTCTGCGCCAGCCACAGGTGACAATTTTGGGAGTCCTGTCATCGGCTCCCCCAGGCCCACAGGACAAAGCCCTAAACCCTGGTCAGGACACTCAGTGTCCTCTGCTCTCTCCTGGGTTTTCATCCTCTTTTCCCCTCACTCCCGGCCACTGATCTGTTTCCACTGCCCTCGTTTGCTCTCTCGCTCTTGCTTGAGCTGTTTCTTCTACCTGGAATTCCCATGTTGGCAACATAATCACCAACTAAAGGATCCTTTTTTTCATCTTTATTGTTTTAGAGATAGGGTCTTGCTGTGTTGTCTGGGCTGGTCTCGAACTCCTGGACTCAATTGATCTTCCCACCTTGGCCTCCAAAAGTGCTGGGATTATAGGCGTGATCCACTGCGTTAACCTTTTCCTTTTTTTTTTCTTTTTTTTTTTTTTTTGCAGGGTCTTGTTGTGTTGCTCAGGCTGGGATGCAGTGGTGCCATCATAGCTCACTACAGCCTTGAACTCCTGGGCTGAAGCGATTCCCTTGCCTCAGCCTCCTGAGTAGCTGGGACTACAGGAATCACCACAATGGGCAGCCTATTTTTAATTTTTTTTGTAAAGATGGACTCTCGCTATCAGGCTGGTCTGGAACTCCTGGCCTCATGTGATTCTCCTGCCTTGGACTCCCAAAGTACTGGGAATCCAGGCATAAGCCACCATGCCCAGCCTGTCCCCATGTTTTTAATCCATCTCATTTTTTTGTCCTCCTCACCAAAGATATGTTGGTTTGTCTTGTGAGGTTATTTTTTTCATGTGGATTCCTGAACCCCGTCCAGCCCCTCGTACCCTCCCCAGCCAGCTCACACTTGTTTGTCACAGCTCCTGGGACTCCCGTTGACACACAGGGACTAGCCACCCACAGTGGACTCTGCTGTTTTGTTTGCTCCCTTAAATTTATCATGCTTATAGAATGCCATGCAAATCCTTTTAGAAAAGGTAAACAGCTCTGAATTTTTTTTTTTTCTTTTTTTGACATAGTTTAGCTGTTGTCGCCCAGGCTGGAGTGCGGTGGTGCAATCTTGGCTCACATACCTCCACCTCCTAGGTTCAAGTGATCCTCGTGCCTCAGCCTCCCGAGTAGCTGGGATTACAGGCATGCACCACCATGCCTACCTAATTTTGTATTTTCAGTAGAGATGATGTTTCACCATGTTGGTCAGGCTGGTCTTGAACTCCTGACCTCAAGTGATCCACCCGCCTTGGCCTCCCAAAGTGCTGGGATTACAGGCATGAGCCACCATGCCAAGTCCCAGCTCTAAACTCTTAAGAAACTCTTGAGAGGGTCTAGGTCAGTGCTGATAGAACCTCTGCAGTGCTGGGCCTGGTGGCTCGCACCTGGAATGCTAGCACTTTGGGAGGCCAAGGTCAGAGGATCTCTTGAACCCAGGAGTTTGAGACCAGTCTGCGTAACACAGACCCCATCTCTACAAAAAGTTTAAAATTAGTTGGGCATGGTTGTGAGTGCTTGTAGTTCAAGCTACTTGGGAGGCTGAGGTGGGAAGATTGAGCCCAGTAGGTCGAGGCAGCCATGATTGCACCACTGTACTCCCACCTGGGTGACAGAGTGAGACCTTGTTTCAAAACAACAACAACAAAAAAAAACTCTTGCAATGATGGAAATGTTCTACATTTGCACTGTCTGAAATGGTACACACTAGCTACACATGGCTATTGAAGTCTTGATATATGACTAGGATAACTGAATTGATTTAGTTTAATTAAAAACAATGTTTTTGAGACAGCCTCACTCTGTTGCCCAGGCTGGAGTGCAGTGGCATAGTCACAGCTCACTGCTCACCCTCCTGAGCTCAAGCGATCCTCCCTCCTTAGCCCCCAAAGTAGCTGGAACCACAAGCGTGCGCCACCACGCCTGGCTAATATTTAGGCTTTTTGTAGAGACTGGGTCTCACTGTGTTGCCTAGACTAGTCTTGAACTCCGGGCTCAAGTGATCCTCCTGCCTCGACCTCCAAAAGTGCTGAGATTAGAGACCTGAGCTACCATGCCCAGCCTGGTTTAGTTTAGTTTAATTTAATTTAATTAATATACATATATATATTAGAGACAAGGTCTCACTGTGTCACCTAAGCTGGAGTGCAGTGGTGTGAACACAGCTCACTGCCACTTCGATCTCCAGGGCTCAAGCAGTCCTCCCACCTCAGCCTCCCAAGTAGCTGGGACCACAGATGTGTGCCACCAGGCTTGGCTAATTTTTGTATTTTTCATAGAGATGGGGTCTTGATGTGTTGCCCAGGCTGGTCTTGAACTCCTGGGCTCAAGCAGTCCGCCTACCTCAGCTTCCCAAAGTGCTGGGATGACAGGTATGAACCACTGCAACTGGCCCAAAGGCATATTTTTACCGGTAGTGTAGGTTAGCTTTAAGATTGTACCAGCAGATAGAGGCAGAAAAGTAATGTAAAGTGAGTATCAAATTACATTCATAAATAAAGCAGTTGCTCATTAAGGTTATCTTTTTCTTTAAACCTCCTTTTTTATTCTGGGTTACATCATTCCCTGGCTGTCTTTACTCCAGCATCAGTGAGTCCTGCAGTCACTATAGCCCCCTGCGAGGACAGATATTTTGGTCACCATCAAGGGGATCTTTATTTTTATCTAACTTTACAATTCTGCCAGTTCTGACTCTTATTCTCTTTGCGTTGAATGCCAGGACCCGCCTCTGATGTTCACTGAAGAGTACCAGAAGAGTCTGCTAGAGCAGTACCATGTGGTTCTGGATCAAAAACGCAGAAAGTACGTGGTTGGAGAGCTCATCTGGAATTTTGCCGATTTCATGACTGAACAGTGTAAGTGGCAGTTTGGCTCATGGGATAAGGTACCCGTCCTTATTTTTTCAGGTTGCCTTGCCAATGCTGGCCATTTCGATTGTAAGAATATTGGAAACAGTGGGGAAGCTGGTTTAATCCATGTAGGTTGCGTTGAGAATTTCGTAGGAAAAGTAAGTTGTGCTTAGGAAGCAGGAAAGCAGTCAGGCCCCCGCCTCCTCCCAAATGTGGTCAAAAAGCAGACAGGAGAGTCAGCTATGGTGAGATGGAAATGGCTAGCTTACCTTGTTCTTGTCTATTTCATAGCCAAGGAAGAAGGAAAAACGGGACCTCATTATGGATTTACTTTTGGGAAACACTCATTATTCCATAGTAGGGTACAAAGCCTGAGAAGCTTAAGGTATTTCAGGCTGTTGTACATTACTCACTTGCAAAAGTGAATACAGGTGAGTTTCAACGCATCTTGAATGAGGCAGCATTTAAAAGTCTTTAGGCTGGGCATGGGGGCTTATGCCTATAATCCCAAAACTTTGGGAGGCCAAGCTGGGAGGATCGCTTGAGACCAGGAGTTCAAAACCAGCCTGTTCAGCATAGCAAGACCCCATCTCTACAAAAGCAAATTAGCTAGGCGTGGTGGTGTGTGCCTGTAGTCCCAGCTGCTTGGGAAGCTGAGGCAGGCGAATCACCTGAGCACAGGAGCTGGAGGCTGCAGTGAGCTGTGATTGCACCACTGCGTGAGAGCCTGGGCAACAGAGCGAGACCTGCCTTTAAAAAACAAAATTGGTCTTCAAAGAGAATAAGATCTGTGTTCTCACATGGGGACAGATGAGGAGCTGCCATGTTCGCAATGAATGTGTCCCATTTCTTCTTAGTTTATGGACTTACTGTAAACTCAGGATGGCAGTTTGGTGGGTTGGAGAAGGATATGGTAATGGTGGGAATTATATTACTTACAGGGGAAGACAGGCCTTTGAAAGGTTAAAGCTTAAAAGTGAGAGTGGAAAAGGGATGAATGAATGAACAAGATGAGGTGAGAAGGAAGAGGGAAAGGGAAAAGGAGAACAGGAAGCTCTCCTCTGCGTGGCACCTGCAATAAATGGTTTCTGGGGACATCCGTGATGGCAGTTTTGTGGAGAGGCGTGAGGCTTTATGTGATAAGAAATGGTCTGCAGGCTGGGCGCGGTGGCTCACGCCTGTAATCCCAGCACTTTGAGAGGCCGAGGTGGGCAGATCACCTGAAGTCAGGAGTTTGAGACCAGCCTGGCCAATATGGAGAAACCCCGTCTCTACTAAAAATACAAAATTAACCAGGCGTGGTGGCGCATGCCTGTAGTACCAGTCACTTGGGAGACTGAGGCATGAGAATCGATTGAATCTGGGAGACGGAAGTTGCAATGAGCTAAGATCACACCCTGTACTCCAGCTTGGATGATAGAGTGAGACTTCTTTTTTTTTTTTTTTGAGATGTAGTTTTGCTCGTTTCCCAGGCTGGAGTGCAGTGGTGCTATCTCAGCTCACTGCAACCTCCACCTCCCGGGTTCAAGCAATTCTCCTGCCTCAGCCTCCCAATTAACTGGCATTACAGGCATGCGCCACCACACCCGGCTAATTTTGTATTTTTAGTAGAGACGGGGTTTCTCCATGTTGGACAGGCTGTGCTTGAACTCCCAACCTCAGGTGATCCGCCCGCCTCGGCTTCCCAAAGTGGTAGGATTACAGGCATGAGCCACCATGGTGGGCTGAGACTCGGTCTTAAAAAGAATAAAATGAGCTGCATCACGATGGGCAAGTCACATAAGCCTATCATAAGCCTGTCCAGTGGGGATAATGCCGCCACCTTGTGGGTGTTGTAAGGGCTGCATTTGACAAAGTACTTGGCGGTGCCTGTGTTCACTCATGGAAGAAACAGTCTTGAACCTTTTGGTGGGGAAGGCCTCCTTTCCATTTAACATTTCCATTTACTGGTGGTCTCACCGGGGACGGAGAGTGTCCTGAGAGCACAGTCCTGATAGCTCGATGCCAGCTGTGCTCCCCTCCAGGCTCAGCTCAGGCCTAATGACCACTGGTGGTGGGTGCTGCCATGCTGGACGTTGGCCCCAGAAGGCTTTGAGCTCCACCAGTAGGTCCCACATAGGCACCTGTGGTTGGTCAGGACCCTGGCTCCCACTCGGCGCTATCTCTTCAGAAAGGCCCAAGTGTTTTGAAGGGTAAGTGTCCCAGATACCCCCAGCTCTCTGCCGACCCAGTTACCAGACAGCTGGGTACCCAGCATGTAAACCTTATTTTGCAATTAAAAGATAAACTTTTGGTGGTTTTTTTTGGGGGGGGGGAAGGAGTCTCACTCTGTCGCCCAGGCTGGAGTGCAGTCACAATCTCAGCTCACTGCAACCTCTGCCTCCTGGGTTCAAGCAATTCTCCTGCCTCAACCTCCTGAGTAGCTGGGACTACAGGCGCCCACCAGCATGCCCGGATAATTTTTGTATTTTTAGTAGAAACCAGGTTTCACCATATTGTCCAGGCTTGTCTTGAACTCCTGACCTTGTGATCCAACTACCTTGGCCTCCCAAAGTGCTGGGATTATGGGCATGAGCCAATGCGCCTGGCCTGTTTTTTGTATTTTTAGTAGAGATGGGGTTTCCTCATGTTGGACAGGCTGGTCTCGACCTCCTGACCTCAGGTGATCCACCTGCCTCAGCCTCCCAAAGCGCTGGGATTACAGGCATGAGCCACCACACCCAGCCACTGTTTTGGGTATTTCCCCTAACAGAGTAGAAAATGAGGAATTAACACACCAGGGAACCCGGGTGTTTGAGCAGAGCAGTGGTATTTAAATATTTCAACCCATAAATTGTCACTTCACAGCAAGCATCCTGAAACTATAAGAGGACATTTGGCTGAACATGGTAGCTCGTGCTTATAATCCCAGCACTTTGGGGAGGCTGAGGAGGGCAGATTGCTCGAGCCCAGTAGTTTGAGACCAGCCTGGGAAACGTAATGAGATCTTGTCTTTACTTAAAAAAAAAAAAAAATTAGCCGGGCATGGTGGTGCTTGAGAGGCTGAGACAAGAGGATCGACTGAGCCCAGGAGGTTGAGGCCACAGGGAGCTATGATTGTGTCTCCGCATTCCAGCCTGGGGAACAGTGAGATCATCTCAAAAGAAAAAAAACAAGACATTTCTATGTAGTGCCTACCTTGGCTCCAGTGTGGTTCTAACTTGACCCATCAGAAGTCATCTGAATCGCTTTGTGTCTTTTTTGTTTTGTTTTGTTTTTTTTAGCACCGCTGAGAGTGCTGGGGAATAAAAAGGGGGTCTTCACTCGGCAGAGACAACCAAAAAGTGCAGCGTTCCTTTTGCGAGAGAGATACTGGAAGATTGCCAATGAAACCAGGTATCCCTACTCAATAGCCAAGTCACAGTGTTTGGAAAACAGCCCGTTTACTTGAGCAAGACTGACACCACCTGTGTGTCCCTTCCTCCCAGAGTCAGGGTGACCTACAGCAGCAGAACAAGTGCCTCTTGGACTGTTCATGGCAGACCAGAACATTTCTGGCCTGGGTTTTATGGTCATCTGTGCTAGCAGGGAACACAAGGTGGAAATAAAAGATTTTCTAGTATGGAAATAAAGAGTTGGCATGAAAGTGGCTACTGAAAAGCATCTGAAATCATTTCTGTGCGTCGCGCTGTTTTCAGAGCCTTAACTATGTGTGGACTTTGGAGAAACTGCTGCTCCAACACCCCCACCATGTTCAGAGCAGCTGGTTCCAGAGGGCATCTGCAGAAATAGCCCCATGGTCCTAGGGCCGCCGTGTTTGTGTAGCAAACCGGGCCAGCCTCAACAGCGAGTGAGTAGAAGACTTTCACAGCTGCTGTTCGACTCCTCAGACGAGCTAAAGTCCCACATGTACCAACAAATTCATAGAAACGCTGTCATGCTGCAGCACTTAGCAGGGTCTGTGAGCCAGTTTCCACATAGTTAAGCTGGCAGTGTCTGAACTGGAAGGTTAGAGGTAACTGGTTCTCTCTCCCAGGACATCGTTCTGACCTCAGCCATAGGGTCTTGACAGAAATGGGCAGATGAGTGTAAACGCCCATTGGCTTTATCATAATGGATGCCACTGAGTGTGACAAGACCTCCTTAAACAACTCTGCCTACAAATCAGCATTCCATGGCTTTACACCCCGAAATGACGCCACCTACCCCCTCCCAGAGCACAGTCTTTCCTTAAGGAATCCCTCCTCCCTCTCTTCACGGGCTCCGGTAAGGCAAGGATGGTGCATCAGTTCTGATTTGAAGTATATGCTTTGAAAAAATATAATATATATATACACACACACATAAAACATATATAATATATAAATATATAATATATAAACTATATAAACATATATTATATAATATATAAAATATATTACTATATGTAATATGTACTATATATAAAATATTATATATAATATATACTATATATAAAATATATCGGCCATGTTGGCCAGGATGGTCTCCCACTCCTAACCTCAGGTGATCCACCCACCTCGGCCTCCCAAAGTCCTGGGATTACAGGCATGGGCCGCCATGCCCGGCCAAATGCCGTTTTATAGCTCCAATATATATTATATATATACTATATATAATATAATATATAAAAACCTGCTGCAAAATAAACTGAATGGAAAAGGGGCTTTAGACTGTCAGGGCAGAGTCTGTCGGGCGTCAGTCCTGCTTGGGCTGCAGCTGCCGCTTCCAGGCCTCGTTCAAGTAAACTAGTCGTTTGTAGTTGATACTGAGAAGAAGGAAGTTCAGCATGTACGTGACGACGCAGATGATGCAGAACTCCTTCAGCACAAAGTACAGAATGTAGGCCAGGTACAGGGACCCCACGACCGACATGATGGAGGACGTCATGAGGATCAAAGCTGCCACCGCGCTTGCTGTCATGCCTGTAAGAGAAGAGACGCGGGCTCAATCAGGCCTTGGCGCTGGAGAGAGGCTTTCTGAGTGACAAGGACTAACACTGTGTGACTTGCTGCGGTGTTTGAATACTGATCTTCCTGCCAAACTCTGAAAATTGAGAACAGAAATACTGGTTTGTTTCGTTAAAATTATACAGGTTGACTCTAGCAAAATGCCAGTTTTTTGACTTTTTTTTTTTTTTTTTGAGACAGAGTCTCACTGTATCGCCCAGGCTGGAGTATAATGGCACAATCTCAACTCATGCAACCCTCTCCTCTTTGAGTTTAAGCAATTCTCCTGCCTCAGCCTCCAAAGTAGCCAGGATTACAGGCACGTGCCACCATGCCTGGCTAATTTTTTATTTTCAGTAGAGACGGGCTTTCACCATGTTGGTCAGGTTGGTCTCCAACTCCTAACTTCAGGTGATCCTCCTGCCTCAGCCTCCCAAAGTTCTAGGATTACAGGCGTGGGCCACCATGCCTGGCCAAATACCAGTTTTATAGCTGCAATGTTTTTGATTTCTCAGTCTTTCAGGTGAAATATTACTAATTTCACAAACTAACCTAGTTGAAAATATGCACACAAAGCAAATATGCAGTCTCACAATCACATTAAGCAATGAAGCTGACTTGTAACATCAACAGCCCCGAGACACCAAATGAATAAAGGGACATGAGGACCGCAGCCTTTTTCTTCCGAGCTGCACACATTTGGTGAGAACCTTCTCTGGTTTTCACTACAGCCTCCCCATCTGTGGAAAGTAAAATTTGCTTTTCCCTGTTTAGATCAGATTGATTAAAAATCCACAATGAGAGGTGAGGTGGATAAGGGAAACCATATTTAGCTCGTTGGCTCCATGTGGGTCAAAATTGATCAAGAAAAATGGTGGACATGTGTGCTAACCCCAGGTTCTCAATACAAAAAGGCACCTAAAACCATGCACGGTCACTCATGCCTGTAATCCTAGCACTTTGGGAGGCTGAGGCAGGGAGATCATTTGAGGTCAGGAGTTTGAGACCAGCCTGGCCAACATGGTGAAACCCCGTCTCTACTAAAACATACCAAAAAAAAAAAAAAAAAAAAAGGTGGGCATGTTATTGTACACTTGTAATCCCAGCTACAAGGGAGGCTGAGGCATGAGAATTACTTGAACCCAGGAGGCGGAGGTTGCAGTGAGCCGAGATTGTGCCACTGCACTCCAGCCTGAGGGACAGAATGAGACTCTGTCTCAAAAAAAAAAAAAAAAAAAAAAAAAGGTGGAGGGCGCCAGGTGCAGTGGCTCAAGCCTGTAATCCCAGCACTTTGGGAGGCTGAGGCGGGCAGATCACAAGGTCAGGAGATCGAGACCATCCTGGCTAACATCGTGAAACCCTGTCTCTACTAAAAATACAACAATATTAGCCAGGCGTGGTGGCGGGCACCTGTAGTCCCAGCTACTCAGGAGGCTGAGCCAGGAGAATGGTGTGAACCCAGGAGGCTGACCTTGCAGTGAGCCCAGATCACACCACTGCACTCCAGCCTGGGCCACCGAGCGAGACTCTGTCTCAACAACAACAACAAAAAATAATAATAATAAAAGGAAAAAAAGCACCTGAATTCTGGACTCTATCTTCACATGTATTGTTTTTAGTTTCCTGTGGCCAACAGTATGGAGAATATGTGCATTTATTTTCAAGGACAGAGAAGGCAGATCATGTTAAACGGCCCTCCTACCCAATGACTCATGGATAAGGATAACAGAAACAGGAACAAAATAACAGATGGGAGCAGGTTTAAAGAAGTCAATTAAAGAGCCGAAATCCCGGTGCCTGTTGGCAAAAAGAAAAGCAACAAGAAGACGCCTATGGGCTGGCTGGGCTGGCTCGGCCACAGCCACGGGACTAGATGCTTTCATAGGGCACTTCAAGACTAAGGTGCTGCTGAATTACTGCAGGGACTAGCAAATCTGGCCAGCTACCTGCTTTAGTAAATAAAGTTTTATTGGCACTCAGCCATGCTCATTCATTTATGTAATGTCTGTGACTGCTTTCACACTAGAAGGCAGAGTTGAATGGCTGCAGCAACTGGCAAAGTCAATTTTCTGCCAGGCCCTTTACTGAAAAAGTTTGCTGACTTCACCTATGCTAAACAACTAACATTTCAAAATTAATGCGGTCACAATTTTATCTAAGAAAGTTAATTTCAAAATGAGACGGGCAAGTTATTTCTTCCTGCATGCCTCTCTTTTCTCAACTGTAAAATTGGGATGACAATCATGCTTACTTCCCAAGACTGCTGGACAATTAAATGAGCTGAGATAATGCAGGGTTAAAGCACTAGAATAGTGTATAAATACCAGCTCTCCGTTAAATACTACCGTAATGCAACTAGGTACTTGTGGCTCAGGGTAAAATTCCCAATGGAATTTAAAATGTGCTGTAACTCTGAACAAATGATGGTACAATTATGCAATGGATTATTCTGCAGCTGTAAAAAAGAATGAAGACATTTAATAAACTGACATGGAAAAATCATCACTATATATCCATCAAACAAAAAAAGAAAAGAACATGCAAGCTGTAGAACAGTGGGTATAGCATCTGCCTTTTATATTTTAAAAAGGAGGAAAATTAAGATTGTGTATGTGTACTTTCTCGTATATGCAAAAAGAAACTCTAAAACAATAACAAGCTACCAGTTGGGGCTGAGGAGCAGTGGAAACCAGGGAAAAAGAGAAGGGGTGGGACAGATTTTTCTTTGTGTAACATTTTATACATATATATTTTTTTCTAAAGGAGTCTCACTCTGTCACCCAGGCTGGAGTACAATGGCGTGATGTCAGCTCACTGCAACCTCCACCTCCCGGGTTCAAGCAATTCTCCTGCCTCAGCCTCCCAAGTAGCTGGTATTACAGGTGTGCATCACCACGCTTGGCTGGTTTTTGTATTTTTAGTACAGATGGGGTTTCACTGTGTTGGCCAGGCTGGTCTTGAACTCCTCACCTCGTGATCCATCCATGTTGACCTCCCAATATGCTGGAATTATAGGCATGAGTCACTGCATCCTGTCCTTTTTTAAAAGTTTTGAACCATGTGAATGGATTACCTATGAAAAAATTAAATTAAAAATATATCTCAAACAGCTTAGAAGTGAGTACAGATGTCATGCTCTGGAAACTGTTGGGTTAGTTCAAATGTGCCTCCCACAAAGACACCAACATTAAAAAGCATGTGAAGCATCTAAATGCAAGTCAAAAAATGCAAATGAAAAAACACATATGATACATATGATTTAAAATATGTATATACCATGGCATTAAATTAATGGTAAAACAAAAATTTGGCTGTAGCACCTCTATCTTCAAAAGTTAATCTAATTAAAGGCTTTTCTTAGGTTCTTTGCCTTTAAGGGAAAATGCCTTGCATTTGGGCTTATACTTCATATTCTTCTCTAGAAATCCAGCAAAACGGAAATATGCAGAATACAGAGTGAAATTTCTCCCTCCTCCCAACCACCAGACCCTTTTCTATGCATTTACATGCATGTATACAAACATGTTTGTCCTATATTTATTATACCAAAATTTGCATTTTTCACTAAATAGTGTCTTTATCTTTCTAGGATATAAATATAGATCTCCTTTTTCCTTTAATGGCTACGTAGTATTTCATAGTATTTTCTAATTTATTCAACCATTATCTACTTCTAAGCTAACTCCTTTTTTT